ATTGCCCGAATCCTTGTCAGTCAGGCTGTGGAACCCAAATTGGCGGAAGAGCAGTGTGGATTCCGTTCGGGTCGCAGCACTATAGATATGGTGTTTGCGGCTCGTCAGTTGCAGGAGAAGTGCAGAGAACGACACCAGCCATTGTACTCGCTTTTTTTGATTTCACCAAGCATTTGATTCGGTGAACCGCGAGGCATTGTGGCTGGTGTTGGGTAAGTTTGGTTGCCCGCGTAAGTTTGTAAGTTTAATTGAATGTCTGCACAGTGGTATGCGAGCGAGGGTGCAGCTGAGTGGAGACCTGGGATGACTTTGCAGTTGTCTCTGGTGTGAAGCAAGGCTGTGTCTTAGCTCCTGCCCTGTGTAATATCTATCTTCATGCAATGTTGTCCTGTGCTTTTGATGCGCCTTGTGCTTACGGTGTTCGTGTGGAGCACCGTATTGATGGTGGGTTGCTGAACATCCGTCGTTTCGGTGCGAGAACTCTAGTCTGTGCGACAACTATCCGTATGTTGCTGTTTGTTGACGACTGTGCGTTGTTTTCACACAGCGCGGATGAGTTGCAGCACATGACTAGTGCTCTGGCTTCGACAGCGACCAAATTCGGGCTCACTATCAACGCAAGCAAAACTGTCTGTCCCCTTCAACCTTCACCGGAGGTGCAATCTTCAATATTGCCGCGAATCAGCATTGGTGCTGAAGTATTGGAAACCACCTCTCGCTTCAGCTACCTTGGGAGTGTGATGACGACTGATCAGGAGCTACTCAGTGAGCGGCGTATTCGCGTGTCCAAGGCGGCAGCGGCATTCGGGAAGCTTGAGTACCGAGTGTTGAACAACCATCAGCTTAGCATTGGCACGAAGCTGATGGTGTACAAATCCATGGTACTGTCCGTTCTTCTATACGGCAGTGAAACGTGGACGATGTACCGTCGGGATGTGCGATATCTCGAGCGGTTTCATCAGCAGTGTTTTTGTCGAATTTTGCGCATCGGTTAGGGCGACAGAATTACAGACACGGAGGTGTTGCGACAAAGTGGGATGTATGAAGTAGACTGCATAGCTTTGCTTATACGTCTTAGGTGGATCGGTCATGTGAGCCGTATGGATTCAAAGGAGATACCGAAACAACTTTTATACGGTCAGCTGAGTGTTGGGAAGCGGCATGCTGGGAAACCAAAGTTACGTTACCAGGACATGATTAAAGTGAGCCTCACACGTTCTAATCTTGATTGCAGATCATGGGAATCGAAGGCGGTTGGTCGGCGTGCATGGCGCGATCTGATCACGAACGCAGTTGCCGAGGTGCAGGAGAAAGCCCTCATGCATGCGGAGAAGCGGCAAGTGCGGAAGCGCCGATGGGTTGTACTCCTTCGACATCAAGCGCATGGTGCTGTAGCACATGCGATCGTGAGTGTCTGAGTCAGGCAGGCCTAGTGAGCCATGAGCGAGGCCACTCGGGACCACTACGAAGCGACGACGGGTCCTGCAGTGAACGTAGCCAGAACCAGCGCAGCGTTTGTAGGTACGCTGCATTCGATTTACTAACCGCGTGCTTGCATGCTAAGTCCTTTTTTCAGGTGGTGCATCTTCAATTTTGTACTAATGCCTTTCTTTCTCAAATAAATGTCCACCTGTACGCCCTTCTATAAACCTGCGCACCTCGCTTAAGCCAAGTGTAGTTAATTTCGGTAACATTTTCGTGTTTGTGTGGTTTCCGTAAAATATACTTTCTGAGCTCCTGAACGTATCTGGGATCCTTTGTTAACAACTTATTTCATGTGCTCATTAGTTTAAGATTTTTCTCACGTTTGCTTATGCATTAGTCAAGTTCTTCTCTTTCTTAGCTTTCTCTCAAGTGATTGGCTGTTGCTTGATATCCCCGGTGTGGCTGCGCTTGGTGTGCATGTTGACAAGGTGCCTACCTGTCTATTACCCACTACCTCGTCCATACTCGCTCCAGGAGACAGTTGGTCGTTGCTGGAGGGGACGGGGTGCACGGTCCTTGTGGCCGTGTTAGGATCAAAGAGTGGTTCCATACACTCAGTGTGGAGCGGACTACGGTCCAGACACCGCCTTATGTGCGCTTGATTCCCCAAATACAGCGTGTTTATGTTTGCCAGTGAAGGAGTGTGGGCCGGCTCCGTTGATGAAACGTGGCTCCCATCCGCATATCACCCGGTCTTATTCCTTCGGGTTTACACTGGATATGGGGTGTGTGGTTGGAGCTGTGGGTGGTGCAGCGCAAGCCACCCATGGTCCATGTGTAGGCGCAGGCGTCATGTGGCTGGCCACAGTGATTGTCGGGCAAATACGTGACCGGATGCCGCCAACCATATATATATATATATATATATATATATATATATATATATATATATATATATATATATATATATATATATATATATAGTTTGTGAATGTGTCGCAGCATTTTTGACTGTTTGTAATCGTAAGGAATGCGAGAATAAGCGGTTGATGTCCGTGGGTTGGATAGCATTTTCCGGATATCCAAGGGGCAGCGACTTTATTGAGTAGCGATTTACCTCCGCCATGTCGCAATGTTGATAAGGAGACATTTGTAGCTTTTTACAGGGAGAACGCTTGCCAGACAAACGGTCACCACTCCGAAGGATTAGCTGGAACGGGTGTAAGCTTGCGCACCCAGTTGGCACTTCTACAACGTCAGACGGCACGTTGTTAGCAAAGAATTCTATCAAGTTGGAGGCTATGATAAGAATCAGAAAATAATTCATTATTCTTTGATAGTCACATTTGTGTCAACCCGTATTGTCAATGAACAAATGCAATTTGCCAGAAAGAACATGTTTGTCAGATACCATTTGTTTGCACACTTCGAAATGGACTGTTGCTAGAAAATCATCATCATCTTGAACTAAGGGTGTGTGCTCTAGAGGTATATCAGCTGAGTTAGTTGCCATCAATAGGCGTATTTGATAGTGTCTTCACATTACCAATGTATGTTGCTACAGGCGAAGAGCAGGCAATGGATGTGCTGACAGTTATGAAATAGCCACACCAGTCCTCATTGCGTTTTGATAGCCTAAATATAAATAAGTTTGCGGTGTTCTATCAGTACGTAATCTATCCTTGGCATGTGAGGCCATTGGCTGTTCCATAATTGATGTACAATTCTCGCAACAAACAGACTTGGCCATTAAGTAAAGTGTAGGCGATAGATCCTAAAATTCCACCAACGAATCCATAGAAGGCTAATAGCATTAATCGTTAGATATCCCTCACTGAGAAGAAGCGACCCAATGGCTGCTTGGTTTTGAATGGGTTGTAACGTGTACTATCAGGCTACACTACGAGTTATTTTAAACATACAGTTAGTCATCCTTAGTCCTTCACATAAATTTTTGGATTTCGCTAATCCTTAACACTGTAGTTCTTAACTGATACTGTTTTTGTTATTTGGTTTCTTCATAATGTCATAGCCGAATAATAACTCCGGCTCGGGATTTGGAGATTGACGCCTATAAGCACTCCTAGTGTCGTACCAAAACATTCCTTAGTCAGCGCCTGGTACAGCCAGTTGCTAGTAATCGTGGGTTTGTTTCCTTTTGCGGGTAACAGTAACACCTGTTTCAGACATAATCCCAGTAATCAACCTCACAATGAATCACGAACCGTTAGTGTCGGAGGTCAGATGGTGCTGCGATAAACGGTTCGTGCATACGCACTCTGCTTCCCGGGTTCGGATGACGTCCCGTATATCAGAAGCGCAAAATCGGTAGCAGAACTGTCAATGCCCAAAAAGCGACAGCGGACCGTAGCGAAGATCTTCATACTTCGACGGGGTCCCGGTTGTTGCATACAAAAAACACGGTGAGAAATCTGGCGCCCAGCAACAGAGTGATTCAGTTGTCGGCGATTGTAAACGCAACACGCAAAGTTGTACTCAATCCACAATCCCACGTTCGGACAAGAATAGAAGAGACAACAGTTGCGTCAACCGACTAGGGCCGAGAGGTTAACATACAGCCAACCACACAGTAACCCACATTGAGCCGAGACGCATCAACTACCTACCGTAGGTGCATGTGTTGGGTATTGTTTGCTATGAACGATTCATGACCAGATTCACAATTGTTCTCATCTGTCCCTGTATGGTACGTGCTACTTAGGATAATGGGTCTGTTTGGAGAAGCTGAGGGTCGATGACTACCTAATACCGAGATCGTCAGTAGACAATTGTATAGGGACACGTTCATTGTTCCGTACAATAGATTTTTCGGGGATAGAACAGCCGTATGATATGATGTTTGATTTCTTAGCCGAGAAGCTCATCACCCACGTGTGTGGCACCATGATCCAAACGAAAGTAAATCATCTTGAATGAGCAGTAGAGCGTTCCTTGATGTTCGTCATGCGGAAGCTTATAGACGATCCTGATATTGTTAGTGAATAAAAATGGTCAACCGTGTTTTACAAACGTGATATCATTGATGTAGATCAGGAAGAGTGAAGAATCGAGCACGCTCCTTTGGAGGACCCCACTGGTAAGGGGGCGTGGAGAAGACCAATAGTCACCTTAAATGACTACCTGGTGATGACCACACAGGAGTGACGACAGTCAACCTAGTCGTGGGTCATGAATCCCAAAGGCCGCTAACTATTTCAACAACCGATTACAAAGTACACGGTCGAATGCTTGGTGTATGTCCATAAATAGAATTAGTACGGCAAGCCAGAATCGACAGATTCTGAAATGTAGTCTAGATAGTGCAACTGACAAGTGGTGGACGATCACCTGTTAAGAGAACCATGCTGAGACTTATCTATCAAGTCCCAAGAATTGACAAAGTTCACCAAATGTTCACTGATTAGTTTTGTAAACAAGCGGGAGATCATAGGAGTATGGTGGATTGGTCAGTGGTTCTCAATCTTACCGTGCTTGCTGTAATCAGATCACTGAGGCAAAACAGGTTTGCGGTTGTAACGCGGCCGCCGTGATGCAGAAGACGACAAAGCCAATATCTCCAGATAGGCAGCTGTATTTTACAAAGTTCACATTGGTAATTAATGCGAATAAACAGAAAAATCCGGTAAGACACCAGAGTCGAGGGGAAAAACACTTCAAAAGAGCCTAGACACGTGATTGCACAAGTACACTCCCAGCTGCGGCGACACATAACGGAAGGAGGGTCAATCAGGTTTGCTCATAAAACCAGTTGACGAATCACTACTTCGGGTTGATACTCGATGACTTCTTCCGCATTGGGACCATCAGACAGAGAAGTGCCGACTGTTCGTGGTAAAGTACAGGACGTGGAACAAGTGAATATGTAGAGTGAACCGAAATCCGGGGATGCTTCGCCTAGTTTATCCAACTTCAGGTACTGCAACAGCTGGGGAGTCACCTGTGTATGAGATGAGAAAGGAAGTGTGGGAAGATCTCAAAACGGAACCCAAAGTCTGGATAGATCAAACCAAATCAAATCAAATACAAAATCTATATATAAAAGTTTTTTGTACGGATTGAACCATGCAATCCGTTGGATTGTGTCACGCACTACAGAGAAATAGCGTACTATTTGCGGGGATGATATTCAAAACGCGGACCACACAGCACATCAAGTAGCCGATGCGCACAACTGCGGGTGACTCCAACGTGTTTAGATCTGCTATTGACCAGCTGTGAGCAACGTGTGCATGACATCCAGGTCCTACAGCCCCTGGGAGCGAGTGATCACTCGATAATCACAGCCAGTTTGGAACTGTCGCCACCGTATTCTTCTCCGTTGGTGCCAGCCTTCAACTATTGGAAGGACTTTAATGAGCTCATTCAAACCGCGAGCCAGATGGCCTAGCTGCTACCGAACGATTCCTTTGTTGAAACCTGTTGGACTATCATTAATGAAGGAGCAAAATGGTTGTGCATCCGATTTGTACCCCTCAAGTATCGGAAAGTTGGACCAGTCAAGTACCATCGGTTCGACATTGGGACGAACGGTAAAAAGTGATGAAGATTATGGGACAAATCCGTGTTGTCTGGATCTGACGAAGATTACGATGTGTACAAGAGACGGCGAAATCTATAGAACAACACGAAAACGCACAACCGCAGAAGCTTCGAAAAGCAGCTTGCAGCCGCCGCAAAAACTGCTCCCAAGAGGATCGTCGCCTATGTGAAGCGGCGCCTGAAGTTTGCAAGCGATGTGCCAGTGCTGGAGGGCTCAGATGGACAGTTCTTACCCTCGAGCACAGATCGGGCGTCTGCATTGGCGGCGTACTCCGCATCGGCATTTGCAGGTGACCAGGTGTCTGTACCGAGTTCAACGGGTAGCTCCCATACAGAATTCGATAACTTGGATTGCAGCATCAAATATGTACACAACCTGCTGGCCAGTCTTGACGGGACCACGTGTACCGGACAAGATGGAATCCACCTACCGATCCTCAAGTTATTATTGGTCATCGTCTCGCTTTCTGAGACCAAGCTGTTCAACAGATCACTATCTACTGGTTCATTAACGACCGACCAGAAATGCTCAGTCGTAAAGCCAGTACCGAAAGGTGATGAGCCAAGCAAAGTGGACAATTAACGACCGATCTGCCTGATCGCCGTTTTGGCAAAGACACTTAAGAAGATCGCAAAGAAGTGTTCCGTGTCTTCTCGAGTCGAAAAGGCTCTTGACGCCCGCACCGCATGGTTTCATGAAAGGTCGCGCATGCATCACCAACCTGCTATTGACGAAGCACGAATAGTTGCAAGCGCTCAACTGGGGGAAATCAATCGAGGAGATTTACATAGACTTCAGTAAGGTTTTTGACAAGGTAAATCATGAAGTGCTCCTCAACAGGCTGAAGATGTGCGGTGTTGACGGCTCGCTGCACCGATGGAGCAGGAAATTCCTTGTTAGTCGAAAGTGGAGAGTCCAGGTCGATAACACTCTGACCGACTGGTATCCCTCGACCAGTGAGTATGCTCCAAGGGGCCCATTTGGTTACTTGTCCATATAAACGAGGTGCCACAGCTTCTACGTTCGCCTTGTGCGTTGTTTACAGATAACAAAGGTGTGGAGAGTAAGCAACGCAGGTGCTTCAGCGGAACCTTGACCACCTGTCCATGTAGCCTGCAGATGTCCACTTTCCGATAAACCCGGTCAAGTCGCTATTCATGGGGCTGGGGGTAAGGGTGAATACAGTCGAACCCACACTGGGGTCAGTCAACCGTTGCATCCCGCGCCTTTCGTGCAAGAGAACTCGCTGCATTCTCATGCTGCGACCTAAAGTTCATGGACAACACGAATAATAGGCTTTACTAAAACGGACTTCGTATGCATTGGGCACTAGAGCGCAGCTTCAGCATTTGGTGCGAATACAATGCAACTCGGTTCTTCGTCTCAAACATACGACCATTGCTAGAGTACGGCTCGCCAGCGTAGTTTCCTATCAATCTGGACGAGGTACAAAGAATTGAGCGAGTACAGCATGTGGGGAACAGGCTCATCCCAAGTTTTTACGAGGTGCGCCGTACGAAGACCGGTGCAAGAGACTAGGACTTTACACACTGTCTTATCGTCGATTGCGAGTTGACCTCATTATGAGTACCCCATTTTGAGGCCGCTGCTGCATCTGCGCACACCAAGCAGCACACGAAGACACCGGTACAAGCTAGTAGTGCCGGATTTGAAGTAAGTCGCCCACCAACTCCGTTTCGAAAGGAGAGTGGCGAATATAGGAAACAACCTGCTGCCACACGTAGGTGAAGCAGTCGGTGTTGGAATTCAACAAATTCCTGGATAAACATTGCTGATATGAAATGTTTCGAATGTTCGCCAACATAACAGGTCTTTGTACCTAAGGAATTTTAAATGTAACTACACAGAGGTAACTCTTTCTGCTACTTCTATCCAGTATGCAATATTATCGCAACTACAGTTTTCTTGCTATATTTTCTCTGTTCCATTGCTGGCCACGACTAGGCCGATCTTTGAAAAATATGGATTGAACCGTTCAAACTAATCAACGCACCCACGCAAGGCAAACTGCCACAGACTCAGTGATGAGCAATATAAGTGTCTGATTTGAAAAGCTGTACTCTGGGACGGGCTGAATATCTGAAGTGCCCATTATGTGTGTACCTAACAACGGCCCTAAAGATGACTTAATGCAATGTTAGCTTACTTGATGTTAAGGTACACCGGCACAAGACTAGATGGGATGTGGTGGTAGGGATGAGACCATTCGATTGACTACCCCGGAATGGAAGTAAGTCCCCAGGAGACGGCTCTATGGTTAGCCGTATTACTTCAGTTGTACAGTTGGACTTGTCTTCATTAATTATCATTAGAAACTTTTCAAACTTGTGAAAGATTCATTCGAGCAATAAATTAGCATGGAAGCAGGTCCCCAGGAGACGGTTCCACGGATGACCACCTTGTTACACTTAAAGATTTAGATATAAGAATATCTAAATGGGCATAATACACGACTTAAATATTTGCTACGTCTGCTCATTCTTACTGACAACTTCGTCTTCTTAATTTAATTAACTGACCGAATACTCAAAAAATTGGTTTGGGACCACCTTGGACAACTCGGTCCCGCTGTACAAACTGATCTAATCATCCAGTTGGACTGCATCTAGCACTATTGAGAAACATATCACTTATTTACCTATTCATTCATAGAACCTCTACCATTCTCTTATACTTCCGCATTTGAAGGATTGTTGTGGCTGCGATGTGATGCATTAGTAGCAAATACCACCGCACCAGAAACCAGTAGTATGTGGGTGTGGACAAGCCAGATAACGGATCAAATAAACGCGTCAGCACAAGGAGGACGCTTGGAGGCCGCAGATAGATGTGCATCAAGAATAAACGCAGAAGCCGTGTCCGGCAAGGACTAAAAGCATGAGGGCACCACGCAACACCCAGGAAGGTGTTCGCAGAAGACTGGAGTCATCAGTGGTCAGACCAAATGGATATGGAGAATGCATGTTGCCACGGTGAACACGTTCTCCGCGCCTCCTGGGTCATTTAAGTATGACAATGGGACGCCAACACAAAGCACTGAAGTGCAATTGATTAAGAATGGTGAGGATGCTAATACGTTACTAATGCTCAATAGCAATTTAAAGAGTGAGGAGAATCACCGAGAACCTGCGACTGAGTGCCATAGAAAGCACATGAATCATACCCGCGCTCCGTGCAAACAAATACATTATGGGGCCATATAAAAAGGTGCCGAGATAAATCTGATGACAGAAAAGGCAATAAACGGAAAACTTTGACGAACAATATTTATCATGCCTACTTGAAACTCAAAAATGCGTTTTTCACCACAAGCGTCGCAATCGGGCACCGAAGGAGGGGTAGCGGTCAACCAAATCGGTTCACCTCCTCGCTGCAAACGAAGGACCTGGGGATTGAAAGAGAGAAAACATGGAAGAGATGATGCAGCGCTAGCCCCATCGGCACTGGTGAAATCATCAAAACTGCAATCGGAGGCGACATCACCCGCGAAATCCTCAAGCGTTGCCTGCAGGTTAAAGCTATTTTCCATGTAAAATGTAACGTGCTGCCCACCCGTCAAGTAAGAAGACAGCCGAACCGCATCCGGACATTGGACGCAGGAACTACCACAGGAAGTCTTCAGCACTACGCCGCCGGACTGCGAGTGACGCTCATCGCAGCTGCCCATGATTCAGTGTAAGTTCATTTGAAGCACCCGATGGGTGAATGGATATCAACACACAGTTTCTAACTAACGAGCATGAAAAGAAGTGAAAGTTATCAGCAGTACGCAGGCGCAATGCACCGACGCTTCGTTGCCACGAGGTCACCACCGGTAGCGCGTGGGATGAGTGTGCCGCGAATACGCGCGCCTCTACGCGGATTCGAACCGACGACCTAAGGATTGCAAGGCAGGCGTGCAATCCATTAGGCCACCGGTCGGGGAGTGCATTTTCGCGAGCAGACAATATCTAATGTGTATCTATCGCAGGTACGGTCCCAGTGATCAGAATGACCGAGATTCACTTCGCGGTTCACATTGAGGTTACATGCGGCAATTCACATTCAGACAAAGTGCTACAAGTGAAGCTGTAATGAATAATTTCTCGGAGGCTTCACTCTTTTTGTGACTGGGCAATTCCTAAAGCAACGAGTGGACGAAGCATGTTACTTACAAGAGTAAATTGATGAATTCGGGCGGACATGATGTGCTTGCAACGCCAGTGCCTTGAAGTGACACATTCAACGCGGCGAGTCAAGTTTTACACCTATTCTCTTGTAGATGTGAGGATTGAAAGGGGGAATATGCTTAAGGCCAGCACCCGAAAAGACAGACCAAAAGGAGTGGGAGAAGACAACAGGGTAGTAAGTTAAATGGTTTGATAAGTCCAGACGTTGTGGGTACCATAAGGCGATATATAAATTACGTGATCAAGCAAGTGGAAAAGGTGGAAATTGAAAGGATAATTCAGGTTCGCCACTAGTATCCTTGCGTATACAGTGGCACGCATGAGAGGGAGTTGTCACTTCCACACAGTAACGGTCGCCAATCATCATTCATCCTCATTACATGTTAGCCTAAAGTGAGAAGCACACTACAGCTAATGTACCGCGATATAACAGATGATAGATGAAAAAGCGAGACACAAAACATTACAGTAGACAATGGAAAAATCAAAAAAGTAATACGATGCTTAGTATCGTATTACGCAGCAGGTGTGAGAACGTGGTTAGAGGTCGGTGGATGAAGAGACTCAGAGCACAAACGCCAGTGAGGTCAGCTCTTCACCATGTCAGGTAGTGCATCCAAACAGACGTGTTCATCGTCCTTGGGACCCCAGCCTCGCAGTCGGGATGCAACAACGGACGCCAAATTCGAAGTGAAAGGGTTTTAATTTCTCTTGACCAAGTCATCACTTAGCCTCCTCTTCTACCCACATTCCGGTCGCGCAAAGAACGTACGACGCGACAGTTAGTGTGCTGACACGCGCAACACGTGGCCCAGCCATCAGAGCCTGGTGTGAGATAGAACGGTGCTGAGCGGTTCATTCGATCTTCCTGTACCAAATACGCGACGCCGAACGGGCTCATTGTTCATGCGGCGTTTCCAACAGACATGAGATAAGCTACGAAGGCAGTGATGATAGAACGTAATAAACCTCTTTATGTCTGTCGATCTGATGGGCTAGGTTTTGCAGGCGTACAGGAGGGTTGAAGGCACGGTTGCATTGCAGACTGTACGCTTCAGGGAGAGAGTAATGCCCCGCCGGCACAACAGCTAGCGAACAGTAGCAAAAGCGCCTCGAAATTTTGCGATACGGTCGGTAGTTCCATCTTCGATCCAACGGGCGCTAACATAGCTACTGAGATACTTGGATTTCTGAACGATTTCTAGTTGATGCCCACTAATGGTCAGCGAGATCTTAGAGGACTATGGATTACGAGGGTGCAAAAGATCGCCCGAAACAATTCATAGCCAGATCTAGCGTTACTGGGCACGTTTGGAAGCCATCACAGATTAGGGTAATATCGTCGGCGTACTCAAAACCAAGAAGTCGACGACCTGGGAGCAGCTCTACACTTTGAAAGTCGTACCAAATGAATGCAGTTGCCATGACTTTGTCAATGGGGAAACCTAAAAGAAAGGGCGGCAGCGAGCAAGCTTGTCTCACACCAGTGTCACAAAGGTCACCAAAGTGATTCGATAACCATAACACAACATGTATGAGCATCTGACGACTTCATTGAAAACACTGCAAACCTTGGGAAAATCACACGGGAACTCGCCTAGATAACAACTATCAAGGAAGATACGGACACTGTGCCAACGAACCGATCGATCACTTTAGGGCAGTGATACGCGGTGGCCAGGTTGCTTTAGTGCTCATGCTGGCTCGCGTGTCTCCCGTGGGGAGCAAATTGATTGCAAAAATAGCTAAGTGAAGCATGGTTATAGTCATTAGAGAACAGCAGCAGAGGGATTGATGATGTTTTAGAGAAGATTAGTAGCTGCCAAATTCATACAGTCAACACACCCAAGAAAGCGCTGGGCGGCCGTTTCATCCTGTTGGGACTCGTCAGTCCAGCGCGCACGCCGAATCCTGCCGGATTTAAACTCACGACGTTATTCTTACGAGCCAGTGACTTATGCTACTGAGCCATGGACAACGGCATTGGGCCCTCATGACTGATATCGAACTGTGATATGGCGCTGCTCATCCTCTAATGTTATGCACGTTGTGAACGTGCAGAGGACAGGGCTAGTCTCCAGCTACGACTAACATTGCAGACAGCCACCAATCGAGGTGGCATGTAATCTGCTAGGGGGATTACTGATTTCATTTGAGTATCAGAAAGATCAATGAGGCTTTTAGGAAGGTTCCTTGCAGCTAGACTTAGTCAGACAGTCACTACACGTCCGGAAAAGCGCTGACTCGTAAGAGTGAGTTTATGGACTCGGGTCGAGCAGAAGCGCGCTACTGATGAGTCTCACTAAAATGAAACGGCCGGTTAGCGCTTTCCAGAATGCGCAGTGGCTGTCTGTCTGAGTCTAACTGCGACTGATATCAAAAACATGATCACGGCCTCATGACAGCTGGGCGAGAAACCTGATTGTCAACGAGTACGTGTTCGCCACAAAGCGTGCTTGGGACAGACCCTGCGAGTGTTGGCAGGGCCCAGCCGAAAGCTGATGAAATCGCGCATCAGACAGCAGGCGTGTTGCCAAGGTCTGACCGGAAGCTGATGAAATCGCGCGTCAGATAGCACGTATATTGCCATGCCCCGAGTAGGCGGATGAAGACTGGCATGCCCGAACAATACAGTGAACTGGCCAGACGGAGCGGACAATCAAGTGTGGAGCGTGGGCGTACACCCAAATCCGCCAGGCTATGTTTAGAGGATTGGTGAGATCGACATATATGAGCGTTCTCGGTCTTAATACAACTCTGGTCGACTGAGTCTTCTTCTGTCTTCCCTCCTGTCGAGTTTGCCAAGGCGTCAAGCAGAGCAGGCGTAAGGGCGCAGATTTACTAGCAGGCGTGAATCAACCGGTCGATTGCGGACACAGCGGTATAACAGTCTCACAGATGATTGTAATAACTTACTTTCCCTTGCACGGGATGGCTTAGCCACAGTCGCATGTGACGCTTATTGCCCGGTTCTTGTTCAACGCACGATTCTGCTAAAGCACTGTGCCCGCGAGACCACACGAATCAATGGACACTTCCCTGAGAAACTAGTCGCGCTTACGAAGCCGGCCGACTAGATTGACGCAAACTCAAGTGACACATGAAAGTTCCCACCAGCCGCACAAGATAAAAGACATAAGGCGAGGCGGACCCTTGGGAATTCTTTTACAGCCAACAAGGTTGGGACAGCGGTTCGTTTCGGGGGAGAAATGAATCAAAACGCCGAGCGCGTGACTCACAAAACACCACTGTACACTTTGCCACAGCTGCGCACTGACTTGGATCGCCTTATAGGCTATTGCGTTGTGGGTTGGAAATGGACGCCGCTTGACGTAACCCGCCTATTAGAGTCCGAGACGCAGTTGGGTATTTTTACTGGATCACTTAACGTTCGCGCAACGAGGATGAAAAAGGCATCAAGTAACAGTATCACTAGAAGCTACGTGGTTGCTGATTGGTTCTATGAATCCCTCAAGTACAAATGCCCTTGTTTTGGACAGGTTTCTCCAAAGTAATTGATCATCGTATAACGTTCCAATTAATATCAAGATCAACCTATAGAAAACCGAGCGGTGCGAGAAAGTTGTTTTTCAAGGCCATGGACCTTCTAAGTTAGGTCTGGCTCTGCTCTTTATAAATACAAGCATTTGCATGCTGCTCTGTGTCACCACGTCCATCTACTCTGGACACTGGCTCTTCCTAAAGCAAGGTGTATTGTCAATGAGTCACTGGTGTGATTAAGTATGGACACCAGTGCCGTGTCATCCTTCTGACAAGCAAAAAAGAAGTGCCATGCACAAAATAGCCGAATGATGGAATGGGCTGGGCAGCCTGATCGACCATAACGTAAAATAAATAATAAGAATTTGTCAGCTGTACGCCGTAACGACGCTTCGCTGCCATGCGACCACCACCAGTCGCACGCGGGCTGAGTATACCGCGAGGACGCCCGCCCCTACGCGGATTCGAAGCCGCGCCGCAAGATTACGAGACAAGTTTGTTACCTCTAGGCTAAGGGTCGACACCATAACGTAAGCATAAAAACAGTCCTAAAAGTAGGTTAAACAGGTGATGGCCAACTTGCCAATTTGTCATACCGGTACACAGCCAGATGGGGCATTGAAGTGTGGATAAAACCATTCGAGGAAATACCCTGTGAGAGAGCAGAATTTATGGATGACCGTAGTACTTCACTTGAACATCTGTTCCCAGTCTC